CAAGTACATCACATGGTACTTTCAAGTCAGGGTTGATGTGCCCAAGGCCGGTAAAACTGACATTCGGATGCTACAACTTCAGTTAATACAAGCTTCTCCAAAAGCACTGCTTGCCAGCATTAGCTGTATATGAATAGATATTCTTAGTCTGAATTTTTTTTGGTAGAGAACTGGCTTAAGATATCCTGAATGATAGATATTCTATAAATCAGTAACTTATATGGTAAATACTGGTTAGGTACAGATCCTGGGTTTCCCAGCATTCACCTGAAATAATTAATATAATTCAGACCAGAAAAAAATCTTGCTATTTTTAGAGAAATATTATATAATATACTTTAACCGCTGTCAAAAGCTTACAAAATTTATCCTCCAACAAAATGATATAAATGCAGTGTTTTACTAGGACTATCTCATTTGCTTTCTGATTTTTTTTAATGCTTGCTCATATACAGAAGCAATCAAAAGAATTGAAAGCTCCACCGTCAACTATCCACATTTCTTGGTTTTCCTGTTTCCATCAAGCAACCAAAATTACATGTTCCACCAGTTCCTGTGCGTAGTTTTACACAAGTTTATTATAATCCAAATTAATTTAGAAATTCCAGGAAAAAAAACTATACATAACTTTGAAATGCACATTAGACCATTCTGTATCCTGTTCATGTACTCCCTCATCATGGGAGGGAGATATTACTGAACAGCAGCTGACCTACCTTCAAACACTTCTTTTTACAGCATACCAATTGTTTTCTTAAAGTAAAAATTTAAACAGAACATCTGTGGTGCTTTTTAGCTAGTGAACAGCAGCTGAGTAACTGGTACCTTTCCAGGGAACAACTAACACATGGAGGGGAAAGAAAGAGTAGGGTCAGTAAAACCCGCACAACTTTCTTGCAAAGTACATGGTTTAACCTACTTTCTTCCCTCCCCTCAGTCTATTCTTTTGTTTACTGAAATGTCTCATCATATTTATTACCCACATATAGAGGCCAGAGGGAACGTCAATTTAAAGGACTATGTAGTTTAGTATTGTTCTGCAGATGAAAGTGATGCTGATGGTAAAATAAGCAAATCCGTGTATCACATACTTCAGCATAGAGTACATAAGCTATATGAATACAAAAATAAGATGAAAAACCAAACGTATGCATCACATGGCAAATTCTCCACAGATCCAGGCTATCCATGCCTGCAGCATCCCCCCAAAAAACAGAAAAACCATGGTACCACCATGTAGCATCCACACACTGCCTCGATCCAGGATCCCAAGGATAAAAGTTGACAATACTGGAATATTGTCCACAAGGACCAAAGCTCCTCACGCTCCCTCTCCACCCTTGGGATGGGGGACTACACAGCTGATGCTGTAGAGTCATGGATTGTCAGCTTCTAGAAATCAGTTAATCAAGAGGTTGAAATAATATCAAATTCAATACTGTAGCTTATTGGGAAGTTAGCTCAGTGTAACTGCTTATCTACAATAAAATTTTGAAGACTCTCCAAAACCATGTGGATTTGAACTACGTGACCTCCAGAGATCTTTTCAATCTAAATTACTCTGAGACTCAGCATATTCTTGAAGTGCCATCCTGATTCCCTCCCTCCCCACCCCCCCCCAAAAAGTCTAACAGATTGCTGCACTAGAATTTTCATGCTCAAAATCTGATCAAAAGTTTTGCTATGTTTTGAGATTACTCAGCTATCCAAAGAAAAAAGTTTTAATGTTACTGACAATTTAAAAATAGCCTTAAAAGGACTTAATTGCTCTACTCAGCACAATTCTTACCAAAGTTACACTAAAGGACAGATGATAAATAAAGGACTACATCTACTACCCTTCTTTTCAATAAACACTGCAGTCAATATTTAATCATCCATAACCTTTTATTACTGAAAGCTCATCTTGCTGCCCCTAAAGTCCACAAGTGTATTGAATATGACCAATTGTTCCAAGGAAGACATCATAAACACCGACCTCTTCAGCACTGTTGTAATTAAATACATTGCTCAATTACCATTAGCCGAGGGGATTAAAGATAAACTCAGAACTTGGAAGAATTACCTTATTTAGTTAACAGCATTTCACAGTTCACACGTTAGCTCATTTTAGGAAACGTGCAAACTGACTACAATAAGCTTTTAAAGTCATTACAGCATGAATACATAAGTCATTCCCTTCAAATTCAAGTGACAACCGTGCAATGTCTTTCCATATAAAAAAAATACGCAGATTGGTTTCTTCATACAGCACGTGACAAGTTCTACAGCTGCACAAAGTGTTACAGGTTTTTCTACACCTTGAATTTCAGCATTCAGTGAAAGACAATGAACATCCTGTCTCTAGTGTCTGTTCCTACCCTTACAAATACAACCACTCCCAATGTACACAAGTCTGAGACTTTCTTTGTCACCAACAAATGTGTATATATCACGTTGTGGTTACTGTTACCTGCATTTCTTCCTTAACCAGGTTGAGAGCATCTCCTTTATACCTTCCTTTCTCTTTCACGCCTGCTGCCTTTTTGTGTCACTTCTTCAACTCCCCCGGGACAGGTTTTAGTAATTTTTTTTGCTGTCAGGCCAGGTTCAGTGCTACAGCCTTCGGTGTTCATCCTGCCGACTCTATCAGGTTTGGCACAAGTGGCTCCTCCCTCTGGGAATGCACGACCAACTGTGTATATATAGATCTTTCTGCGTCCCACATAATCTAGATTTATTGAGGTAACAGACGTTTCTAGAATCTCCTTGATTCAGTACGAAAGTCCTAAACATACTTCCGTGTAACTACCTTTTACCTTTAAGGATTTGTGATGAGCTTGTCACCTAAGTAAAAGCATCGAGCTCCCCAGTGGGAATGACACATCTTTATCCACATACAAGATGATGTTGCTGGCAGATACAGTAGTACATAAAGATGTTAAATCCAGGCTTTATACATCAAGCTGTTAATGCTTAGCATAAGGCTTTAGAAACTCTTTGCTTGAACAGATATCTAAAATCTAATCTCAAAAACAGTGACTGGTACCCATGCTTAGCCACAACTGTAACTAGACATCTCCACTTGGTCTTCTTTTCCCATTTCCCTATACAGGGACTTGCTGGGGATATCTGTTTATCCAAACGAACC